AGACAATGACTTTACACTAATTTATCGTTTTATTATGAAACATTATCAAGTTAAAGCACTACTTTTTTGTTTTTAATGAATTCTGTAGAATTTGATAAGAGGGAAAAAATATTCTGTATATTGAATTGTTCTGTGAATACAAAGATCTAACCCCATTTATATAGGAAGAGAATAAAGCATATAAGTAAACTTCTATTCCTACCATATTTCTATTCCTACTAAAACAAGAAATAAACAAACTAGGAAAGATACTAAATCGAATCCCAAAGGGATTCAGTTTCCTTCTTCGATATGACTTCCTTCTTCTGTCGCCAACAAATTCTAAGTAAAATAGGGGGCGGGGGGGAGGTGATTTTATTATGTAAAATACTGCTATATTTAGACACAAACTGTGTTTTCATACGAAGAAATGATGCCAGGGAAAATCAAGTGAATTCCCAATTACTCAATGTATTCAATGAAGGCTTTTAGGCAAGCTCAACAACATTAAAACCACACTGGCATTACTCAAAGCCTAAAACAAAGGGAGTGACATGTTGAATATTACATTGAATGTCTACTTATAGGACAACCTGTTTACGATGAGAAGTGTGTATTGAGTATCTCACGTTGATTGTTTACTAGATTTGAGTCTAGAATGTAAGTATGAAGTAAGATGCACCTCTTAAGGATCTTGTTTGGGAAGATGTAGACTTAAGTTAACATAATAATGTAAGATAAGGTAATATGGTTTCTAAGAAAAATAAGCAAAAGATGTAACTACCTGTGACAACAAATAATACCTTGGTAGCCGGCCCTCTTGGAATAAGAACATGAATACTATGATTGCATGACCTTGTTTTGTTTGATGCAAGTAGTAGGTTCCTTGAACGCTTGGCACTTCCAAGCTGGTGACCTCTCAACAGAAAATATGGACTTATTGCTAGTGATGGTAGTAGTAGTTGTTGTTGTTGTTGTTGTTGCTGTTGTTGTTGTTGCAGCTGTTGGTGTTGTCGGGATCACGTCCTCTTTAATTCGATGTGAATTTTTAGATTTTAGTTCCTCTTTAGGGTTTGCTTGATCCTTAAAATTACAAATGCTAAGGGGTAACTTTTTCTGTTTAAACCTTCCTTTCTTTCTCCCAACACTTTCAAAATCATCCATGTATTCTTCATCTGCTTCCTTCGATCCATTTTCCACTCTTTCCCCGCTCTCCGTTGCAGTGGAGTTGGATTTATAAACTTCTAACGCTTTCCCATTTTCCCTTGATCTGTAATTCGCTCTGTCAGAAGAAGAAGCCTTCGACGTCTCACTAACTGGCAACGTTTTGAGCTTCTTGTGTTGGTGATTTCTCGGGGAACTGTTTATAGCCCTGTGCAAATTCTTAGCCAATTCTTCATCCGTCCTACAACTATCAACCCCTCTATTCTTATCGTACAACGCATGGACTGCAACATGCTTCTTCGTCTTATTCTTCTTTGACTGGCTGTGTCTACTAGCGGCTTCTTCATCGCTAATACTGACCAATTCCAAAGCCGCCCTGGCAGCAGCTATTGCTTTTGCTGCTTTTGCAGCTTTCTCCTCTGCAAGGGCTCGGGCATTCCTTGCAGCCCTAGCCGCTTCGGCGGCTTCCATTCTCGACGCCTCAATGATCTCCTCGTTTGATAGACTATGGTCACTCAAATGAGATCTCAACAATTTATTAAGACGGGTATCGAACTCACCACTGCTGAAACCACTCCCGAAAAAAGACGAGGAAGGGGTGTGTGGATTGGCATCACCGTTCTGTTTCCTCATTCCGGCTAAAAGCCTCTTCCTCGGTGGCAAAAGCACATCGGCATCCAAGTTATCCGCATCACATACATTAGCTTCCATTCTCTCTGCATTACACCATCAATGATCTACAAAAACATCCCGCCTGCAAAAGAAACATTTGTGCACTACAGAAACCAGCAGGTTCGCCTCCACGAAAACAAAAATTCATTGAACACGAATCAAACAGTATGTTGAATCCGAAATCGAACTCAAAAGCATCACCAACAAAAACAATTAAAAAAACCCAGAGAGCAATGCAAATAAACTGAGAGAGCCCAAATCATCAAGAGAAACGCTTTAGGGCCTTGCAAGCACCAAATGAACAGATGAAACAGAAATTTTTCAATCCAATCGAGAAAATCAAAAGCTTGATTCTAGAGAATTGTTGAAATCCAGAACTGAGCTAACATCATGTAATTTCCTAGGATTCCTCGTGATTAAAGAGTATTTCGAGCAATTAACGAGAATCAAATAAGGTGGATCAGATACCTCTTGATCTCTCCATGCTGGAAATGGAGCTGAAACTAGGGTTTTCCGAGAGAGATTAGGAAATGGAAGGAAAAATGGCACGTAAAACCAGATAGATAGAAGAAGGAAAGAAAGAGAGAGAAATAATTTTAAGACTACAATTACGTTTGTCTGAATGGAGTTTCCAATGGGTCTCATTTTGGAGACTTGCTTCTTTATTTGTGATTTTATGTTATCATTTTGCATAGTTTTTTTTATGGTATGGAATTAATTCTAAAAATATTTATGTTCGAATCTATACTCTATTTAAAAAGAGGTGGATGTTTTTCCGCCCATACATGAGACTCATATATGGAAAATGTTGACAACACAAATGGTAGTTTAACTATTTTGCCTCAATGTTTTCCTTCCATTTTAATTACGTTTTCATTTTTATTTAAATATTACACAATTTAAGTATTTACATTAAATTAAATAATAGTGAACCACTGGAAAATTATAGTATGGAAATAAAATACAGTACCATTTAAATATGAAAATAAAATTAAAAAATTACAAATTAATAAAGTATGGTCGGGATTAGAATGCTTTCATTCAAAAAAACTACTATACGTACAAATTAATTATTTATTTCAAAAAATATTATAATTTACAAGCACGAACATGTAAAAATGATAAGTTTTCTAAAATAAATTAGAAAATAAATATGGTATGGTAAGTAAATGATAACATTTAAATACAAAATTAAAATAAAAAAACTACAAATTAATATTAATACTATAATTTACAAGTACGGAAACATTTTAAAAATGACAAATGTTCTAATTAGAAAGTTAGAAAATAAATACGGTATGGTACGGTAAGTAAATAGAACCATTCAAAAACGAAAACAAAATAAATGGTAAGTGTTCTAAAATAAATTAGATAAGCGTTCTAAAATAAAAGAGAAAGTAAAATACTTCTAAAAATCATAAGTGTTCTAAAATAAATTAGAAAATAAATGTGGTTCGGTAAGTAATTAGTACCATTTAAATACAAAAATAAAGCAAAGAATTCAAAACTAATATTAATACTATAATTTACAAAAATGAAAATGTTTTAAAAGATGTAAGTGTTTGAATTAGAAAATTAGAAAATAAATACGGTACGGTACATCCGCACGATAAGCAAGTGGTAGCATTTAAATATAAAAATAAAATAAATGGTAAATGTTCTAAAATAAATTAGGTAAGTGTTCTAAATAAATTAGAAAATAAAATAAATATCAAAACGGTAAGTGTTCTAAAATATATTAAAAAATAAATATGGCATGGTAAGTAAATGATACCATTTAAATAAAAAAATAAAATAGAAAAACTCCAAATTAATACTCTTAATCAATACTACAATTTACAAGCATGTAAACGTGTAAAAATTGTAAGTGTTATCAAATAAATTTAAAAAATAAATACGGTACAGTAAGTAAATCGTACCATTTAAATAAAAAATAAAAAATGATAAATTAATACTATTAATGCTATAAGCATGGAAACATGTAACAAGGGTAAACATTCTAAAATTAATACTATTAATACTATAATTTACAAGCATGAACATGTGTAAAAATGGTAAGTGATCTAAAATAAAATAGAAAATAAATACTGTAGGGTAAGTAAATGGTGCCATTTAAATACGAAAATAAAATTTAAAAACTACAAATTCCAAAATAAATACATTAATATGTTGAATTATTGATTAGATAAGTCAAATTATTGGATTATTGTTAGGGACAATATCTAAAACATGTTGAATTATTGTTACGGAAATCGGTATTTAGCAATGGGTAACTGTATGTTGCAGTTTCAGGAGATATAAATCGCAATGGCTTGAAGATTCTGATATACAACGAAGTAAATGCTCACACAAATTATACGAGTAGTGTAGTTTATAAAGAAGTCTTTCAAAATTTGTAAATCATTTTACTTTTATACTTTAAAATAATGAAATCTCTACATTTCATTATATACCAATTTATAATATTAAAAATGATCTTAATTTAGTAACGTAACTATGACCCGTGCAACGTACGGGTGTAAGACTAGTTATTTTTAAATAATGCTGAAATTAATGTCAAACTAAAATTGTCAAAAAATATAAAATTTGATAAGGAATAATTTCAACAATAGTATATTTCTATTTTTTAAAAAATTATAAAATTTGACAGGAAATAATCTCAACGATAGTATATTTCTATCTGTTTTAACACTAATAACTCTATTTTCAACCTAATGAAGCACACAAGTTTCATTTTAGATCGTAACTCCCAACGTGCCTCCTTCATATTATTCAGCCTTGCTGCTCCAATCAATCCTTCTAGATGGACCTCCCTTTTGGGTTAAGTTAAACCTCTATACATACCATATCAACTTCCTTCTATGAGTTTTTAGTATCTCTAATCTGACTAATAATAAAAGTGGATGAGTATATACATATGGGTATGACCTTTTATACTCATCATAAGGCCACTACTTTTGTGTATGATTTTAATTAAAAGAAGGACACGGTTCCGTTGACATTAGGCAATAGTACGTGCCACTAGCGGTGTCATTGTATTTTTGGGCACATCCGGTGCTCTGTTTGAAAAATTGATGTCTTCTACCTCCTAACCCACACCTAAAGCCCCCACTCTAGTCCCGCGCCAGTCTCGCCCTAAGCCCCCAACCAAGTCATCTGTATAAAATTTTTTATTTTGAGAATGGTCAATAAACATATTTTATATTTCTAATTTGTTGAGATATTACATTTATTTCGTACTCAACATTCTAAACTTGTAGTTCTAATTACCTCAGACACATTTCTAATGCCATGGATTGTCTTGTTCATTGAATTACATCTCCAATTTTCAAATTTTGTTATATTACACTTCTAAAATACTAAGGGCATGAAAATTATATTGGAGATATTGGAAATGCTAGACTAAGATATTTAGTAGTATGAAATAAATGTGTTATTGCAACAACTTTAAAATACAAATTATACTTAGGACCACTTTATAAATAAAAACATTTATAGGAATGTACTTTACAAAGACTAAAAACCAAAATCGTCTATTTTATATGATTCAAAAATATATTTAACCCATTTTTTAATTTTACAGATTATCTAAACTTTATTTTTAGATACTCCTTCTATCCCAATTTAAATTATATGTTTAGGTTTATGATGTTTGGATAAAGTTTTTTTAAATCATTTTATATAAAAAAGGCATATAAATAAAAATTAAAAAATAAAAATTGTGGAGTAGTATTTAAAAATTATATCAAAATATGTACAAAACTAGTAGTAACATGATACATTCTGTTATAAAATGACAAACGATAACTGTTACAAAATGACGAACGCTAATAGAGAAATAAAATAAATTAATTTTGATATATGAATACTAAACAAACAAATTAATTTGAAAGACAATGAAGTATCTTTTACTAAAAATGTTCAAGTGAGAAAGGCTTTTCCAAAAAGACGGTCAAGTGCATGACTTGGACAGTTGGACCATTTGGTGGGGCCCACAAGCCCGGAACTGCCGCCCTTCTTTTTCCTCTCAAACTCACCGCCAAAAATTAGAAGGTCCACTCCCGATTCCCCGAACGCGCACTTCATTTGCTTTAATTTCTCGATCAACCAATCTCCGGCCGGTCTCCGGCGGAAACGCTGAACCCTAATCCGGCTTTCCCGCCTTTCATTTTTCTTTTCCCTCTCATTCTCAGCTTCTGAGAGGAGCAATTTGTTCACCCAATGATATCCTGAACATATCACTCGCCTTCTTGCTTCGATGCGTGAGTTTGGGTGTTCGTTTTTCTGCAGATGAAGAGAATCGAGAAGTTGCCGGAGGAAATTCGTGGCCAAATCCGTTCCGGAATCGTTATTTACGACTTGACGAGGGTTGTGGAGGAGTTGGTGTATAACAGCCTCGATGCTGGTGCTGGAAAGGTAATTCTAGTCGCCCCATTAGGTGTGGAGGTGGTTTTCCTGATTTTATTACTTGTGTGGTCTATTTGTGTTGTTGGTCGTATTTGATTTGGCCAGTGTAGCTGTTTGGACTCTGTTCTTTTCGTTGTAAGGGCTTAAACCCAGTTTTTCTGACAGGTTTCCATTGCAGTGGGTGTTGGGACCTGCTATGTTAAAGTGGTGGACGATGGTATTTGCTAGACTGTTTTCTTTTCTTTTAAGAATCATGTGTACATTCAGATGTATGTATGCTGCATTTGAGCATTTTCTCGAAACTCCGGTGTAGGATCTGGTGTGTCTCGAGATGGGCTGGATCTTGTGGGAGAAAGATATGGTAATGGGTTTGATTTTCTTTTAGCTATCTCGCCAATGGTTTTCTGTTCAGTGTTATGCTTCAAACAAAAAGATCATTGATTGAAAACTGTTTCAACTTATAAGATAGAGTAGCTGTTTGCCAATTTGTGTCCAGCATGTAACTCAGGTTTTTTTTCTTATCACTTTGGATACCCCAACTGTTTATGATAAATCAATAATGTATGATAGGTTTTTCGCTCACACTTGTGGGTTTTCTATTTTTGTACAGGAACACATTTCAGTAAACTGGTTTTAATTAAAATTATAGTTGACTAATTGAGTACTATTACAATAATGATTGCATCAGCCGGAAAGCTATAATTTTCTATTGGATTGCAATTATAGTTGACTAGTTGAGTACTATTACAATAATGATTGTATCAGCGACATCAAAATACAACCCCTTGGATGATATGGACGCTAGTCCTTTGAACTTTGGCTACCTTGGAGAGGCTTTGAGCTCCATTGCTGATGTCTCTTTGGTGGAAATTGTTACAAAAGCGCATGGGAGACCAAATGGATATCGCAAGGTTTTGAAGGTAGAATATTCTGAAGTTATTTCAGTTTATAGGAAATTGGTAGTGTGTACCAGTTGCCTTCTATGCTTCATACATGTCTCAGGGTTGCAAATGTTTGTATCTTGGAATTGATGATGATAGGGTAGATGTTGGCACTACAGGTAAACTGTGTCTAACCTCGTCAATTGGAAGTGTAATTGATTTGGTTTCTGAGTGAAATGCACATTGAGTTTTTATTGTTTGCAGTCACGGTGCGTGACTTATTCTACAACCAACCTGTTCGGAGGAAGCATATGCTATCCAAGTACCTCTCCTACTTCTAGACCAAAATCTATTTTGTTGTACAGTGGTAGTGTTTTTCCATATCTGTAGACCAACTTTTTGTCATGTTTCTTTTTTATTTCCTTTGATAGCCCAAAGAAAGTGTTACACATGATTAAAGAATGTGTGATACGAATTGCACTCGTTCACCCCAGTGTCTCCTTCAAAGTTGTTGATATTGAGAGGTCTTCCCTTGCTTCATTTACTAAACACTTAAATGTTTTCCATTTTATTTCATGGCATTAAGGTGTCGGTGCTGACAGTTTGTTGGTATGCAGCGAAGATGAGCTGCTCCACACATGTCCTTTTCCTACTGCATTGTCATTACTGGCGAGAAGTTTTGGAATTGAGGCTTGCAACTCTCTTGAAGAATTGAATGTTGCCGCTGGGCGATTCAAGCTTCTCGGATATATTTCTGGCACCCTCAATATTTTGTCATTGAAGGTACATTTTTTCTGGTGAACATACTGTGAGCATACTAGGTGTCTCATTTTCCCTATCTCCCGCTAATTAATGGCTGCTTGATTTGCAGGTGTTTCAGTATGCATGTATCCCTTTCTTTCATGTACTGTTCCTGCGGAACACAGGCTATGTTTTCAGCAGATTTTTTGTTTTGTTTTGTTTTTGTTTTCATTGACTTCCATCAATGCAGATATCAATTCAAAATTTGTCTCTAAGGGACCAATACACAAAATGATAAATAATATGGCTTCAAGCTTTATTGTTGGTTCCCAAAATGAGAAGCAGAATAGGTCCCAGATATGTCCAGCATTTCTTTTGAACCTACAATGCCCAAAGTCTTACTATGATCTGACTTTTGAACCATCAAAGACATCTGTGGAGTTTAAGGTATTTTATTTGTCAATCATCACTCGATGCAAGTTTCTAATAGATAATTGTGAAGGTATACAAGTTATTGTGAATCTGCCTTGTCCTTGGCCCGCATAATTCTGATTATCCTCAAGTCCCAAAATTTCGTTAGTGTTTTTGTTGAGTTCATTCATCCTATGGTCACTCAACAATAATAACATTTAAACTTTTTCATCTAAATGCGTTAAAGTGGAACATCTTAAAAGCTGTCATTCAGAAATTGGAGTCATCCTCAGTGAATGAGAGGCAGAAGTGGAAATGCCACTAGCCCATTGTAGTCGAGTCGCCAAAACTCCAAAAGTGAAATGAATTGTTTTTCATCACATTATATGATACCTTTAAAACTGAATGTGTGCCAATTATCACTTTTGGTCTCATCTTTGATAAGCACTCATTTTCCCCTTAATGTACACATATTGAAGGATTGGGATTCTGTCTTTACTTTCATTGGGGATGCTGTTCGACGTCTTTGGAGTAGAGGAAAATCTGATGGTAAGATCCAATAACAGTGATTTATATTTCATCAGGGCAATCAAGCAACTATCTGTCTATATTTCATGTGACATTTTGACCTCTTTTAAATATCTTAGTATCATAGTTAGCATCTGCATTATCATTTACTATTATTACATGTTATCTTTATTATCTTTTGATACTTTTTAATTTGATTGCATTTTCCAGTATAACATATATGTATGCATACATCACTTTTTAGTAATTCACACACAGAGGTCTCTAACATTTTTCTTAAGCCCCAGTAGTGGATTCATTGGTTTTATGATAATCTGGCTATAGACCTTAGTTTTTCTGACCAAGGTGGAGATAAATTCACATACCTCCTCACAATAAAGCTTAGTTTCAGATTATGTTTGCTTGTTTTGATTAAATTCATTGGCTGAATTAATAGTCTCTCCTAACTCTGTTCTCATCTTGCATCTTATCAGTATTGCATGAAAATTGTGAAATTGGGAAAAAGAGGCATAGGGCCTTAGATTGTATAGTACCTGAGGAAACTTCTCCGAAGTCAAAGAAGCTCACTGTCAAGTGCAATAATTCTCTTTCCAGCAGAGAGAATCGATCTTCATCTGACAATTCGCATGTAACCATTATTGAAAAGCTCAACACGGATTGCACATTTCTTTGTCAGACTGATTTTCCAGAACACTCAAGTGAAGTGTCTCCATTACCCCATAATATGTTCTCTCCTGAGGACACATTTTTGGACAATGATCTTTATTGTCTAAATAGATCTTTCAGACAAGCGGACAATATTCTTAGCTCAGGATGGCAGAGTGCATCTCCCAAGATTGACGGTGAAATGGACAGGTTACTTGCAGACCAAGCACAACTTTGTAATTCCCTGGATCTCATTGACAATTCAGAGGCCTGTGAGGATGTAAGAGAACCCTTCCTTCAGAGCTGTTTTTTAGGCAGAAGACTGAAACATGATGAAAAGTATCTGGCTACTGGTGATCAATTTGAGTTTAAAATAGATGGTAACTCCAAGCAAAATGCATATAGAGCTGATGGTGGAATTGTTCAAGTAAAAGACATTAACAATGTATTGAGTCCAATGAATGCATGGCACTCTGAGCAACCAGATGGCCTAAGCTTTTCTAAGACCACCATGCAACATGATGATGTTCACAAGGATGTGAGAAAACCCTTTCTTCAGAGTTGTTTTGTACGCAGAAGACCAAAACACGATGAAACAATCCTGGCTAATGATGATAAATTTGATAGCCACTCCAAGCAAAATGCATTTAGAGCTGATGGTAGGGTGGTTGAAGAAGTAAATGACATTAACAAGATTATGAGTCCAAAAAATGCATGGCACTATGAACAACCAGATGTTCTAAGCTTTTCTAAGGCCACTATGCAACACAATGTCATTGATGATGTAAGAAACCCGATTCTTCAGAGTTGTTTTTCTGGCAGACGACTGGAACATGGTGAAACATCTCTGGCTACTGATGAGGAATTTGAGTTTGAAATTGATGGTGTCTCGAAGAAAAATGCGTTTGGAGCTGATGGGATGGCTGTAGAAAAAATTGATGACATTAACAAGATCATGAGCCAAAGGGATGTGTGGTGCGATGAACAATCAGATGTTATAAGCTTTTCGGAGACCACTATAAAACATGATGTCAGTGAGAATGCTAGAAAACCATTTCTTCGAAGTTGTAATTTAGGCAGAAGACAAAATGAGGGTGAAAAACCGCTGGCCACTAATGAGGAAATTGAGTTTGAAATTGACAGCCAGTCAAAGCAAAATGCATATAGAGCTGATGGTATGTTTGTTGAAGAAATTGATAATATTGACAAGATTTTGAACCAAAGGGATAGATGGTGCAATGAACCCAATTCTCCTCCCTTTTTCACGACTAGTAGGCAACATGATGTGCATCAAAGAAGTATTTTTCTTGGTGATTTAGTAAATTCAACATTGAACCCTTTGCCTTCAGATGAAGATGATCTCTTTTTACGTGACTTTGTCAAGCCATTTCCTAATAAGGGTTGGAGATATGATGGAAATGTGAAATACGAATTGGCCAACAAAGACACTAAGGGCTGGAGATATGACCTTGAAGAAATCTCAATTAGTCCAGGAAAGGAGTGTTTCTTTTCAAGCTCTAAGAATCTTTCTTCCTATGCCATAGATCATGCTGGTTACATGGAAATCAGCAGTGAGTTCCAAGAATATGACCTGAAGGGTCCATTATCATCAACGAAAAATAGTACTGACCTCCAGAAGTATGACCTGAATAATACTCTCTCTCCAAATAGTATCAATGTTTCTACTGATTGCATAAACAGTTGGGGAGAGGATGGTCTTAAACGTTCTTCTACTTCAAGGCATCACTCGTCCATTAATTTTGATTGGGAGTCAAGCATAATGGCCCCCCGTACAAATCTAAGCAAAATGTTTGTTCCTTTTAGGAGAGGTAGAAGAAGCAGATCAGCTCCTCCCTTTTACAGATGCAGGAAGAAATTCTCTGCCTTGAGCGATTCTTTGACCACAACAACAGGAAAGATAAATCTGCAGACCATCCATGATGGCACTGGTATGCCAGGTAAATTTATTGCACGCAGCAGATAAACAAACGAGTGCAAAAGTTTCAGCATCATTATTTTAAATTGCAGAAACATGCAACCGGAAGCAAATCCAGAGCCATTCTGAAATGAATAGTGTGAAGCCTTCGATACAATCCAATCAATATCATCACTCTACTACACTATATTGTGAGGGGAATTCAATCTCAGATAATATGTAATGATTTTTTCTAAATGGGAACAGTTTTTTATAAGTTATGCAGTTATTTAGACTCGTCTTTTACTCTAATATTTCATTCCAGACCAGATGCAAGGATGAAAAACATTGATAAAGGGCAATGCAGCAACAAGTGCTACACGGGTTCCTTTGAAGGAGGAGCTATTGTTCATGGTTGTGAAGGTCTCGTATGTTTCCTAGTGACATTTATTATTTCCATTTCATACTTGATATATTTATTTTCCTAGTATACTTATATAACGTTTCCTTATGATTATTCATTAGTATACAACTAACGCTAATACCATCTCACTAATATTCAGAGTTTATACCAAGGGAGATTCAAGAAACAGTAGGTTGTAGGGAAGAACAGCAGAACAGCCATCCACATCATTCAGTTCAGTCAATTAATTAACCACACTCTGATTTTCTTTATGTACAGATTGGCGTTTGAATTTTATAACATAGTATCTTCATTCCAGAGTACAAGTGAATCACTCCATCTTAAGAATCAGGATGCTATACTTGACATAGCTTCTGGTGTCTTGCACCATGCTAGTGATTCATTAGTCCCTCGTTCCTTGGATAAAAATTTCTTGGAGGGTGCTAAAGTTCTTCAACAAGTTGATAAAAAATTTATTCCCATTGTGGCAGGCAGAACACTCGCTTTAATTGACCAGGTGAGTAAGATACTTTAACATTACCACTGTCCTTTTTCTTTGATGATATTGCTGGTGTACATGTGGGTTATAAGTATCTTCCTAGCATTAATTTTCCTGTGCTCCTAGGACATGCTAAATTTGTTAGGCTGAACATGTTGATTTAATATTCATGGTGCATTTTGAGATCCCTCAAATTGACATGCAGAAATTTTTACTGTTTTACTTGCACATGGAGTGGGAGTGACACTCTTGGTTCGTTGTAGTATTTTATGGCAATTTGATTTTGAAAATTTTCTGTTTTCCACAGCATGCTGCAGATGAGAGGATTCGTCTTGAAGAATTGCGACGGAAGGTAACAGTTTTATATTCAAACTGTTTCATACTCCTATGTTTACACACTTTAAGCTATCCCTAACAATTTAATCTTGAAAACCATATAAAAACCTAGCAGAACAACTATTGACAGAGTGTGTATGTCATTTTCATGGTGAGTTACAAGTGAAAACCTGTAGGTCCTATCTGGAGAAATGAGAACGACAAACTACCTTGAATGTGAGCAAGAACTGGTAAGTGTTTTTACAAGTAGTGGTTCCATACGCTTGAAATATACGGAGTAGTTGAGAAGCCATACAATAAGACCAAAAAAATTTGTTGTGAATGTAAACTGACAGGTGATACCTGAGATTGGAATTCAGTTGCTGCATGATTATGCTGCACAAATTCAGAGTTGGGGCTGGATTTGCAACATTCATACTCAGGGATCAAGATCTTTTACGAGGTATATGAGTATATCCTGGAGCTTTGGTCAACATACTGTTTAGTACAAGTATATCCTTTTTAATCCTATTCATACTATTGATTTACTTTTCCATTTGACTTCCATGGTTAATACTTAATACTTCTCTGTTTTGCCTGCAGGAATCTGAATATTATGAATAAGCAGCAAGCAGTTGCCAAACTAATTGCGGTACTCCTGACATTTGTATTCCATTACCTTTCTGTTACCTGTAAATGTGCCATGGTGTTCATGCCTTTTTTATCAGCTAGTTGCTTTTAAGGAAATTCTGATGGGTGCAATCTGAAATGGACTTGAATTTTTATAAAATACAGATACCGTGTGTTTTGGGGGTTAATTTGTCTGATGTCGATCTTCTAGAATTTCTTCAACAGGTTTGTTCACAATCTCTTGTATTATGTTAGGAATATTCCTTCTTCTTCACACAATGTCTCTTTTAGGGGCAACATTGACCATTTCTACACACACACACTCTTTCCCAAAAAAAAGTTCTTAATTTTTGTGGCTCATGTTCTTGCTCCTTGCATCACTTTCAACCAGACATTTTCACTTTCTTTAACTCCGGGGTCAAATTAAGATCCTTTTTTGGGACAAAATATATTTATCAAAGAGTTTTGTTCATTCTACCACCTTAAGGTTAGCTATCAATCAATGACCTCGGAGATGAGGATCTCAATTATTGAAACTACATATCCAAGATTTATACTCTTAAACATTGATTCTTTTTTATCTTTTTAATAATTTGTAATAAATTCTTTTTTATATTAAAATATAGTCTTTGAATGAAATTTTGTTGAAATATATTGTAAAATAAATTAATAACATTCCAAATTCATGACTTTTTTTTAAAAAAAAAGAGTCTCTGATTGATAGTTTCAGCCATTACAGTCCTAAATTGACAGTTTTCATTTATTGGGTCATTGATGGATAATTGATAGAGCTTCATATTTCATTCATCTTTGTTGTGGTATGTAGCTTGCTGATACCGATGGATCATCAATGGTACCACCGTCTGTGCTCAGGGTCCTGAATAATAAAGCTTGCAGGGGTGGGTAATTTATGCTTAATTCCTGAACCAAAGTATGTGTGGGCACGTGGGTGCGTATTTGTGAAATAATCTCTCACTAATGCTCATACATGGAATAATGTCAAGTGTAGGTGCAATTATGTTTGGAGACACACTACTGCCTTCAGAATGCTCCCTTATTGTTGACGAGTTAAAGCAGACTTCATTGTGTTTTCAAGTGAGTAAAATATTAAAATTATCTCAGGAATTCTTTTTTATTATCTCGAGACAAGCATATGGTAGTTGGATAAAATCACTTTTGAAATGATGGAATCCATCATAACCTCGGGAGTCACTCGAATGTCAAAACCCTTGGGGTATAAGAGCCTTGTCGCACCCTCAGTCTCAAGAATTGATAAAACCAAGGAATTTCCTAACACTATGTTTGGTTCAAGGAATTTGAAAGGAAAAGAAAAGAAAATAATATGGAAAACAAGTTTTCTTGTTTGGTTAGACTCCACTTTTATGTTTGGTTTTAACTTGGAAGATATAAACGAGAACCATTTTTTTTAACTTTCTAAAAATTTACAAATATTTATAATAGACATAAATAAAATGCTTTTGATGCATTGAGTTTGAATCACTTTATTGAGTTGTATACATTTTCTTTTGAAATATTCCATCTATTTTCTCACATTTTTTCTTTCCCCAACATCTTTGTGTCCCAAACGGGCTCTAATTACCCGGGTTTCCTGAATCTACACATGGTCATCACATTCCATCAATTCAAGGGAGAAAAGAAGCCACAATCCAAACAAGGCGTACAATTGTTTGATTCCCTAACACTTGCAAATTTGTGTGGCTAGTGTGCTCACGGTCGACCCACCACAGTCCCGCTAGTCGATTTGGATGCTTTGAGTGAGCAGATATCAAAGATGACATCATGGACCAGCGGCTCATGCGAGTCGTGGCACGGCTTACGCCGCCACAAAATCAGTTTAGAAAGGACGGCGAAGCGGTTGAATGGTTGATTACGAAAGCATGCACAACGCATATACACCATATAAAAAGGTACAGAAATCTGTTGATATTTCCCATTGTGTATAGTAAGAGCAATAGCTGATTGTTGTTGAGCTTTTCAGTACTTTTCCGTTTGAGGGATACAAAAATCTTTTACTCGCCGTTTTTAAATAATTGTCTATTGTGATCGCTTCCATACACTAAAAATGGAATGAATGCGGATATGCATTGTGTCCACATTCATTTGATTTGCTATGGACGTAGAAAATCATAATAGATAGTTCTTTAAGAACAGAGTAATGTGTAGAGTTGTGTAGATAAACCAGGAAGTTTGTGAGCTATTCAAGACAAGTTTGTTTGAGTTCATATCTCTCCCTATGACGTCATTCGTGTTCATTTCTTTTATCATTGTTTTAGTGAGGTTCTTGCTATTTTATAGATACATAGTTTTTTTAGTGAATTTATATTAGTTTCTCATGGTGTTAATCTTACAATATTTGGAATTAAGACACTATGCTTTTTGCGACGAATCAAATAGTAGCAAATTCATTTTTTTATATAAATAATTTAAAGGGGAAAAAATAATAATCCGGAACATGTTTTTAAAAATAGATTACTATCTGCAATGCATATTAAAGATTCGTTGGTGTTTTTCTTGAAAATTGTAAAGCCATTATGGCTAATCATTGTAAAAACACACAAATTTTAGTTATGAATATCCGTGATTTTTGTAAACCTTAGAGCACCTTTAAAAAAGTTAATTTGGAGCATTCATTCCTTTATTTTAAGAAATTTTTTAAGTAAGAAATTTTTTAAGTGAAGCGTCTGTGTTATAATATAAATATCAATAAAATCATTTTGAATTATATTATTAAAATATTTATTTGAGTAATATCCATAATTGGTCTTTTATGACAGGTGATTTTCGTTATTTAGTCTTCTATTATCAAATATTATTCAGATAGCCCTTTTATGAGTATCTTTCTATAAATAGTTTTTTTTATCTTTGTTATATTGGTTTTAATTGAAGGACTAAAAGTGTAAATTTACAATGACCATATATCATTTTTGTCATACATAATTCTAGAGGTCGCTCTTTATGTGTCATTGGTAAAATGCGATTGTTTTCTACCAAAATCATGATTTAGAGATGTGTTTTTCGTCGGATAACTAGTCCACAGTCATAATCATTATTGTTGTTTTGTTTATCTAACCGACATCAGAACACATTGGACATAAAATTAATATCAAATTACACTTTTACCCTTCAAATTAACATCAACATAATAGGTCAAAAAAGACTACTTATGGTAATATAGCGGTAAAAGAAAGACCATCGAAACAATATTTGATAATAGAAGATTAAATATGGAAACCGTCTGTTATAAAAAACCAATTATGGAATTTAATATATTTTTTTATAAAATATCCTCATTCCCAAATTAATTCGTACTTTCCTTTTTTGATATCCCAAAAAATGTACACTTCTCTACTTTCCTAATAACGGACATTGAAAATCATGAAAAATCAAATAAAAAGTTTTTTTGGAGGGAAAGAATATTTGAAAAGTTATGTGGCTCACATACTCTTCTTTCCATAAATTTCAATAACTTGTCTTTTGTAAAAATTATGACCCGTACCTAAAACAAGCGTGAAAAGCAAATGAAAAGAACCATATGGGAGGGATGGAGTACACAAAGATAGAAAGGGAGTAATAAACAAAGCCAAGTTTTCAAAAATAGGATTCCATTTGGTTTAATGAGGCCAAAGTGTTAAAAATGAGTTGCCATCCTAAAACTTGTTCCCACTATATATATAATGTGATGCAATTACCTTAAATTTCTAACCTCAATTACACATGAAAAATCTCTTCATAATTGCATCAAAAGAGTAAGCTCTCCCTCCATAGAGACTTTTTCTTGAATCAATTGTACATTAAGTAAAGATCTTCACAATTTACCTCCTTTCCAAGTAACTATCCGGCCGGTCCGGGAGAGAGGCCTGGGGAGGTGGTTCATCCTTTCTTTTCTTGAATCAAAGAATCTGCTAGTAGTTAGTAGTTGTAGAGAACAACTCAGCATGGGGATCATGGAGAGAAGAAAGTGAAATTAGTGTACTGCCTCGTCCTTGCAGTCTCCCCATTCAATGGAAGCACATAACGCCTTCCAAATAGGAACCAACATTTTCACCGGAGGGCGCAACTCCTGTGGATTGAAATAAAAAATACAGTAAACACAAATTTTATACCATGAACACACACGTGGTGGAAAATGCTAAAGTCATCCCAGCCTTTTCACAGATGTTGGGCATTACACCGTGGGAGTCAGTGGATATATCTGTGAGAAGGTGGGGTGACCATGGCATGGTCCTACATTTATTGGGGATAGGCCTTTAATGCCAGCTAGGTATAAGATTTTCTTTGTTCATCATCTATAGAATTTATATTCCACCAAACACTTGACTCAACTGTGTTAGGTGAGCTGGCCGACAATAGAATACAGTAGAGAGGACACTTTCATTGTGAAATGAAAGTCTTACTATATTTAGTATCCTACCCAAATGATTGAGGGAGTATTTTTTTTTTTTTTGGGGGGGGGGGGGGGGGNATTGGGTGGGAGAAGGGTATTTTGGTTCCCCCACCCTCCAACTTTTTTAAAAGCAAATAAGAGGGCATTCTCCTCTTCTCTCCAATCCTTTCCAACCAAACACACCCTAAAAGAAAATAAGTAAATGTTTAACCTTGAAAACTAAACAAAGTTGGTCTTCTCCATGAATGATGAGAGACAGCGTCCAGTAACAAGTAATGGGAGTCACACATTCATTCAGGACAGGCTTCAAAATCTTGCTAAATGGCACAAACTGTCGATTTATTCTCCCGCTGTTATTGAAGATTTGAAGTACTGCATCAGCCATTTCCAGACCAACTATATCGCAAGTGGAATAGAATATCATGAACTCATGATACATTAACAAACAATAAATGATACACAGAAAATAAATAAATAAAGAGGTTTCACATGTATCATGTATGATGACAGAACCATAAAGTACCTTCGGTATCGAGTCTCAATCTGAACTCCAAAAGCAGGCAAAATTATTACTGACTCTGTTATGTACAAATTATAAATGTGACACAGAGCATGAACAAGAAAGAAGAAACAAAATATGGTAGCCAAAGAATTCCAATGAAAACATGAATCAATTCAAAAATGATAGCAAAACTAGAGGAACTTAACATCCTTTGTCTGGCTTTACCATGGAAAATGTAAAGGGAAATGAAATATATGGCTAATTTAAAAATGAGAGCAAACGAATGAAATGAATTTGAATAAATATCCAAAACAAATTTGTGAAGTTTGAGTTTATCCTCTACTTCCCCCCAAAGAGTTTTCTTTCCAATTTTCCTATTTCCAAATGCATTCTTTAGATACAGGGATATTAAGAAAAGAACAAAGCAACAAACAATTGGCCAAGGGATATTTTGCACGCATTGCTAGTGAAATACTTCCCTGACCTGGAGAGCATCCAAGAGTTGACATAAAATGCACATTCAGTACATTACCATTGGATTTTCCCCATGTCATGGAGTACTCACTACCTGCGTGCTAAAATACCATTTTGCAAGTATGATAATCAGAAACTCTACACATGCTACAACATTTAATATTTGTCAAGTCAACCTCTTTAAGTCACCATTCATCAATCCTGCTTTCAACTTACTGTTTCAATTTTTTTTTTAAATTCAACTTGATAGAATTTAGGATGGGTATGGATAACTGGATTGGGTAATAAGAGACTTGGGTTGAACCACATTAAAAGATTGAATCCAATCGATTAGTTAGTTCAACTTAAGAGCTTATATACCGATTATTTTGCTCTTGGACTTCCGATGTAAGATGCACTCTAACACTCCCCCTCAAGTGAACAACCGGGCCATTTTGAATCTAACCGGTTGACCACTTGCAAATTAACTCTCATTCCCTTGACTTTTTTTTGAGCGCCAACACCTAAAGGACCACGAGCCGCGGGGTATGGACTTCCACACGAGCAATCGTGTTAAACGGGCCACAGGCCGTTGGGTACATACTCCATACGGACAACTGGGCTAAAGACTAACGGGCTGCTAGGAATGAACGTCTAGACGGATACCTTGACAAACGAGGTGGGCCAAAACCTGCTTTGATACCATTATAGAATTTAGGATGAGTTTGGATAACTGGATTGGGTAATAAGAGACTTGGGTTGAACCACATTAAAAGATTGAATCCAATCGATTAGTTAGTTCAACTCAAGAGCTTATATACCGATTATTTTGCTCTTGGACTTTTGATATGGGATACACTCTAACACAACTAAATTTACTACATTTAGCTTGTTTTGAACTTTTTTTTATAAACAATAAGAAAAAATATCATACTTTTGAAACATGATTCCTTTTTTGCAGATTACCCTTGAACAAAAAGTAGGATGTAACAATGTTACAGGTTTTATCTATTTACCTCTCACAACTAGCTTCAGGTACATCCCAATTAGTAATGCCCCTATGAGCAAGCTGTAAAAAAGAGCAGAGATTGACCTGACCTGCTGTCACACACACAAGAAACAGACACATGTATCACTACATTCAAAATGCTTGTGATTACAATACCAAAGTGGAGAAAAAAGGGGTAAAATTTGCTCAAGAAACACTATTTCCTTATTCCTTCAAAATACCGGTATAAGTTTGCAACTTGAGATCCATATTATCGAGTATTTCCTTAGGATGAGTTATTTATAAATAACTCCTTAAGCTGGTAAACAGATTTATCCATATTATCTAAATAACTCTCTACAAATGGGTCCTAAGAGCATGTCCAAGTGTCCAACTTAGGATGGAAGCAAAGAACCGGTCCCATATAAATAAATGGGACTCTCCAAAGAATATGCAAGTGGAACTTCAAAATGGGACTCTCCATTGAAGATGGAAGTCCCACTTTTTAAAAACTCTCACTTTAAGTATATGTGGCTCATTTTGATCCCACTCAAATTGGGACTTGGGACTACAACATCCCCATTTGGGTACTTGGAGACGTCCCACCATCCAAATCCTTTATACAAGTTGGAAAAGTTGCCAGAACTAATATCGTAGGCATAGTTATCACGGTGCCAAGGCGAGGTGCCAGTGTACCGCCATAACAATGCTCATAAGCTAAAACGCCAAACTAATAGGAGTTGGTGAGTATCTTACATGTACAAGTCTGGAGCAAATGTAGACCACCGATGGAAGAAGAAAAATAAGAAAGGAGAATAAAATTGAAGCCTTAAGTAATGTGTTTCCTGAGAGCATGACATGGTAGGCGTCTATGGCTTCAATGGGCCATTTGCCAACATCGTGTACATATTCGTATCTCCCAATCATAATGCTGCCACTCTTACCTCCTCCTCCTGCCATTTTCTGTCTGCAAATCAGACCATGGGCCTCATGATAAAAAGCTTATGTTTAACATTTTTATGTAACATTAGTGGTGACCATGGGTAGGGATCCAACTGACTTAAACTTATACGCATTCACCCAAACCCGATAAACACTAAACATAGGGTACCCAAACCAGTTGTTCGGTAAAAAAATCTACATTCTAAAAAGTCCAAGACAAGGAGAACATCATTTCAAATTTCAAAACAGAAAGAAAACTGCAAGGTAATTAGAGAATAATACTAGTTGCATTAGATAAAACACAGTATGAAGTATGAATCCAATAGTTTTGAAGGAAGCATATAAAATTTGTACTCCACTGCTCCCTAACCAATAATGTTTTTTTTCTTGTTTGCAACTGGTTTTATAATTTTTTTGAATTAATTAAACCGGATTTCTAAGAACTCAACATCGTTCTTAGGACCAAGAACATGTAAATAATCATAAGCATAGATAATTAGGAACATGGATTGTTAACGTAGAATCCATCATAGAGAAACCAATGCCATGAACCAACATAATTACTGGAAACTAATACTCCAATATGCAAACCTAAAATTTCATGTTCAGTAAAAACTGTAAAATAATTACTGGAAACTAATACTCCAATATACATTTATGTTTACCCGCATATCAACTTCAAGATTGTCTACATTTATGTTATCATTTCAACATCGGGGTGTATAATTGAACATTCCAAGCAATTTTTGGTAGATGAGTCCTCAATTCTGGGTTTTCGGGACAGGAAACGGAGTACTACGTAATTAATATAAAAAATCCCATAAACAATTTCACAAACTAACCATTAAGCTTGCTAATTAATATATATAGAACTAATAATTAAACTTCACACAAATAGCAAATCAATAATTTAAATTTAAAACACTCCCAATACAAAGTTATGGGATTCGAGTTCCACTCCTGAAATTAAGCCTAAACAAATAGATTCGCATATGAGAAATTAGGGTTATAGCCATTATAGCTAACCTGAAAGTAGTTGATCGAGACTTAGATCTAGCAGGATTGCGATTTTACCCGGCATATAACTACTCCGTAAGAATCAATGTTCTCAAAACGGAACAGAACTTCGAATTGGTCTAGAACAGAACTTCGAATAGGATTATCGGAGAAGAACGGTTAAGGTTGGGAGAATATGGTGAACCGGATTAACCACCAATCAAATATGAACATATGGCATAAGTAAAAAATACTCCGTAATTTTTAATATTTCTGCATTAGATATGGAGTAAAAAAAATCAGGGCCGGTCCTGAGAATTCATGGGGCTGAAACAGAAAAAAAGCCCTAAAAGTCTTGGTCTAAAAAATTCACATATGTAAACTAATTATATTTAAATTATAATTAACGCAATATTATTAGAAGAAAAAAATAAATGACAAAATATATCATAAATAAATAAATATATCATAAATTAATATCAATTCGTCAATTTTTCTTTTTTAAATTTTTTTTCTTTTTCAGTTTTAATTTTTTTATAAATCATAAATTCATATCAATTCATCAATTTATCAGTTTTTAATTTTTTTTTCGGTTTTCAGTTTTTTTAATATAATTATATAGTTATCATAAATAACAAATTCAAATCAATTCATCCAAATCATATAAATAACATATAGAATCATTCATTCATTCTATTTCAAAGAATGAAATTAGAAAAGATTTCAAATTAAAAACCAATAATTAACCCTAGATTTTAAATCTAAAAAATGAAACAATGAAAGAAAAATAAGATTTAAGAAATAAAAATTACAAAATTGGAAAGGGAAGGCTATGAATAATTACCTGGAGGGTGGAGGGACTGGAGGCGTGCAGGTCGGCGACTAGGCGTCCGGCGGTGGAGGCAGCCAGTCTCGGCTCTCTTGTTTCTTCCGGTCCTTGACGTTTCTGCCTTCTGGTTTCTTCGATCGGCACTTGCACTCTTTTCTCCCGTTTCGTTTTTTTGGTCTACAGCATAACATGGAGTGGGCTAAGTTAAGGGATGGGTCATGGGATTGGGCCTGGGCTTATATATATGTGTGTATACATATATAATACTTTAAAAAAAAATTGTGCCCCTAAATTTTTTGGGCCCGGACGGACACCTTGTCCCCTATTGGGCCGGCCCTTTTAAAAATTTATGACTTAAGTAACCTCTGATCTTTCATAAGTAGATAAATAGTTCATTTACTTTTAAAAGTAGTAAAATAATTCATGTGGTCAAAGAATTAATACTACCTCCATCCCCAATTTGATTACAAATTGCGGGTTACGGAGTAACATTTCTTACTTTTTAAAATCATTTTATTTACAAATTGGTATATCAATAAGATATAAAAATTATATATTAAAAAAGTACGTCAAAAGTTCTACAAATCAATAAGTGACAAGAATATTTTATTTCATCAAATATTTAATGAAATCGCGTAAACAAACAAAAGTTATCGAGAAGAGAAAAAAAAATTGTAATCTATTTAGGGACGGAGGGTGTACATTATTAGTTTCTTCTTTAAGAAACTGTAAATAACATAGGCAACTGTGTGAAATGTGAAACATGAAACAAAGAAAAGTTTATCTCATGAAATTGCCTTCGTCGGCAACAGATGATCTTTTTCTAGGTCGCTTCTCACACAACTTTATTTTAGAATAAAACTAGTTGAAAACAGAATAATGTCTAGCTCACATTGGACATTGTACTACGATTTAAGAATATCACTATAGAGGAAATAGAGAATTCGTTGTAAGAGTTAAACTAGAAGATGAAAGATGTTGTACTATAGTTCAAAGTTACATATCACATATGAAATTTCAAATTAACTTTTTTTTATTGTTACATAATTGATGTTTTGGCATAATACGCGGGTGTTACCCACATTTTATGAATTTTCTGATATAGCATTGCAAAATTTGGGGCTGAAAAACCCCAATGCTCTTATTCATAAATCCAATGTTCCAATTGGGTTCTAAAAGTTTGGAGGCTCCATTTGATACACGAAATTCAAACTATGAAATTGGAATTGAGGACTTCAATTCTAATTCTGATATTTGGTAGCACAAAAATTATGTGGATTTAGAATTGATAGTGCAAAAAAATGAATTGGAATTGGTGAATTTAATTCTATAGAATTGAATCTTATGAAATTTCAATTTCAATTTCAATTCCAATTCCAATTCCATGAGGGTCCGTTTGGGATACGGAATTGATGGAATTGGAATTGAATTGGAATTGAAATTCCATGGGATTTAATTCCATAGAATTGAATTCTGATAATTCCAATTCATTTTTTGCACTATCAATTCCAAATCCACATAATTTTTGTGCTACCAAACACCAGAATTGGAATTGAAGTCCTCAATTCCAATTCTATACTTTGAATTCACTGTACCCTGAATCTATTTCGTTCCCTTGGAACTCTGAACCTATCCACTTTTGATCGTCTATTCGTCGTTCATATCAGATAGTTCTGCTTTGGGAAGTTCCAGGTACGTTCGTGAACTCCATCTCTTAATCTTACTTTCCTTTCGAGTTTCGTCTCTCTTTTTTTCTGAAATTTGCTACGCTACTCCCAATTCGAACAAAAATGCATAAATTGAGGAAGGAGGTACCTGATTGGCCGATTCCGAGTTTTTGAACCATTTGAGTATGTAGTTTGATTCCCAGACCCTTAGGACGAGTTTGAGTTCGACCCTAATGTTCTTGCGAGAATAATTTATCTGGATGATGATGCTGCGTATGAGTGTTTGTATCTCAACTTGTAACTTATAGTTTATATCTATTTCATTAGCAGGATGGTGAAAGAAAAAGGATCAGATCTGACATTAGGGTTCTTGCCTAGGCCTACCCAGGTCAAGAATAAGACGCCTGCTCCTATTCAGATAACTGCTGAACAGATTCTTCGGGAGTCCCGGGAGAGGCATGAAGCAGAAATACAGCCGCCGAAGCAGAAAATTACAGACTTTAGCGAGCTCTCCGACTACCGAATCCAGAAGAGAAAGCAGTTTGAAGACCTAATCCGCCGCGTGCGGTGGAACAAGGGTGTCTGGGTGAAGTATGCCAGGTGGGAAGAATCCCAGGAAGGCTTCGACCGTGCTCGCTCCGTGTGGGAGCGTGCATTGAAGATATTCGAGAGAGAGCCGACAATGTGGCTTAATTACGCAGAGGTGGAGATGAAGAATAAGTTCATAGATCATGCTAGGAATGTCTGGGACCGTGCAGTAACCATATTGCCTAGGATTGATCAGCTTTGGTATAAGTACATTCACATGGAAGAGATGCTTGGGAATGTCCCTGGAGCCAGACAGGTCTTTGAGAGATGGATGTCATGGCAACCAGACCAACAGGGCTGGCTTTCGTTTATCAAGTTTGAGCTGAGATATAATGAGGTTGATCGGGCTAGAGCAATATTCGAGAGATTCGTTCAGTGCCATGTGAAAGTGAGTGCTTGGATTTGCTTTGCCAAGTTTGAGATGAAGAATGGGGAGATTTCTCGGGCAAGGAATTGCTATGAGAGGGCAGTGGATAAGTTGGCAGATGACGAAGAGGCAGAACATTTGTTTGTTGCTTTCGCAGAGTTTGAGGAGATGTGCAAAGAGTCAGGAAGGGCAAGGTGCATATATAAGTTTGCACTTGATCATATTCCAAAAATCCGAGCCGAGGATTCGTATAAAAAGTATGTGGCTTTCGAGAAGCAGTATGGTGACAAGGCTGGTATAGAGGATGCCATTGTTGGGAAGAGGAGGTTTCAGTACGAAGATGAGGTCCGCAAGAATCCACACAATTATGATGCCTGGTTTGATTACATACGGTTGGAGGAAAGTGTGGGAGTGAAGGAGAGGATTAGGGATGTTTACGAGAGAGCCATTGCCAATGTGCCTCTTGCCGAAGAGAAACGGTACTGGCAGAGATATATTTACTTGTGGTAAGAAAAATTGTTTTCTTGTAATATGTATTTTTTAAAGCCATTATTATACATTTATTAGTTTTTACCACGGTTTTCCAAATTTTATAGGATCAATTATGCTTTATATGAGGAGCTTGATGCACACGACATGGAACACACTAGAGAAGTGTATAGGTAAATCCGATTTCCCTGTTCATGCTCTTCATACAATATTCAGATTCTCGAAATTCAGAGTTGTCTTAAGGAGTATAATTGGGCTGTATATAGTTGAAATATACAATTAAAATGAGTTTGCACATGTATCTTTAATTACATGTAATTTACTCCGTATTATTTTTGACCATTTTTTTGTTTGCTTTCAAAATCACCATATGTTTCCTCCCTATTTTCTTTCTTAATAAATTCCCGGGTTCCAAGCATCACTTTCAATAAAGAAACTTTACCTTGGGGTATTCAATAATTTTTATATTTTACTATCAACAGGGAATGTCTGAAATTGATCCGTCATAAAAAGTTTTCGTTTGCGAAGATATGGCTATTAGCAGCACAGTTTGAAATAAGGCAGTTAAGGCTTGATGCTGCTCGATCAATCCTTGGAACCGCAATCGGAATGGCTCCCAAAGACAAGGTTTTCTACACATCGGCATTCCTTATTTCATGCTAATTACCAACTCTTTTTAAATTTTTTTTGTGTCTCTTTCTTTTCAACATTCACTGATGTGAATTGACTGGTGTTTGTGAATGTACAGGTATTCAAGAAGTACATTGAAATAGAATTGCACTTGGGAAACATTGATCGATGCCGAATACTTTATGAGAAGTATTTACAATGGTCTCCGGAGAACTGTTACGCATGGACAAAATTTGCGGAGCTCGAGAAGTCTTTGGATGAAACAGAGCGGACAAGGGCTGTTTTTGAGCTTGCAATTGACCAAGTTGCTCTGGACATGCCGGAGTTACTTTGGAAGGTATTTGTCATAATTTTGTGCATTTTAAACTTTTGCTGTCGTTAGTAGGGGCTTAGCTGTCCTATTTATAGGATCTGCTTGTAGTCTCATTTTACATGACCATGTACTTTTTGGGGTGCTTGATTTTCAAGGTAAAATAGGAGTTCATATGGCATATTTCGTAGAACTTGACCTGAAAGCATGTTGATTTTAATTACCATTATGACTGAGATGTGATTTAGGTCAAAATGATATTGCAAAAAAAACTATTCCACTGACAATGGGGTTTGGTGTCATTTCATGACACTCATCCCCTACGGTGCTCAGTTCGCAAAATTGATGGTTCTTACCCCTAAACCCCTTGCTCCCTCCGGTGGGAGGTTAGGGCGTATGAATTATCAATTTTGCTAACGGAGCACCAAAGGTGCCCGAAATGGACCAGTGTCATCGGATGACACTGGCGTCCAGTGCCACTCGAACCGCCCCTTACACTATAAGATGAATATATTTTTAAAAATTTCAATCTAATGTAGGCGTACATTGACTTCGAGATATCAGAAGTTGAATATGAAAGGACAAGGGCATTGTATGAGAGGCTTTTGAACCGCACAAAACATTTGAAAGTATGGATTAGTTATGCCAAGTTTGAAGCTTCTGTGGCTGATCTGGAAGGGCAAGAAGTCATTCCTGAACAAAAGGAGGAAGGCGTACACCGGGTTAGAGGTAAAACATTATTTTCCTCTTCATTGAAATAAATAAAGAAGTCATGTTCAAGTCTTCAAGACATTTCCCCTTCCCTCCATCCCAAGGGTAATGTTTTTTGCTTTTGTATATATTTTTCCAAAAAAGAAAAGCCAAGGAAGAGATCACATGTTATATGGTTAGTTTAGCTAAATCAACCGTTAAAAAAAGAATGATTCATTATTTATGATAGTTGCACACTGCATGTACCATAACCTAGATTAATGGAAAGTATGCATCGGTCAAATATTTAGATGATATAATTAATGCTAGCAGGAGATAATAAGTTTATTTTATTTTACAATGATAGGGGTTTTTGAAAGAGCTCTAAGTTACTATAGAACATCGGCTCCTGAATTAAAAGAGGAGAGGGCGATGCTTTTGGAAGAATGGCTAAACATGGAAACCAGCTTTGGGGATGTCGGGTTAGTCCGGTCCAAACTGCCCATGAAACTGAAAAAGAGGCGCCAGATCGAGACTGAGGATGGCCCTGCCGGGTATGAGGAGTACATAGACTACCTCTTCCCCGAAGAAACTCGGACAAGAAATCTTAAAATTTTGGAAACTGCACATAATTGGAAGAAGAAACAAAGGGTTTCTTTCTGCTGAAAGATTAATGAACAAAAAAAAAAGTTCAAAAGGTTTCTGGTGAAAAGGATGGTGACATTCCTATGATGGTGTGTACTTTCTGCTGTCAGTTTGGCATAAAATGGCAACAGACTGAGCCCAGCTAATGCAAGTTTTTCACCAGTTGAGGTTTGGGGTGAGTCACTTTCAGATTTATGTGATCTTGGTGCTTAATTGTTGTGTGTGGTGGGGATGTACATCCATCAGATGTTGTACCTGCTGCCTAGGGCTCTTAGTGNATAGGAAGGACAAAGTTGAACTATATATATGATAAAGGGGCAACTTAGGGCTTGTTTCTTCACCTTATCTGATTGGTTTTGATATGTTTGAAATACGTTCCGATTGGTCGGGTTTGATTTGATTGTAGTTATATTTAAAGTTATTTTTTATTTGGCTTGATTTAATCTGATTTCAATAAGAATAAGTTGAAGAAAACAAGCTTTTATTCTTGAGCACTTTTATAATCGTGAATTCAAAGGGACAATAATAATGCCTACTATGGAGTACAACATTAAATTTGACATCATCAAGCAAGCTAATTTTTATTTTTAGCCGGTCCATCGCATTACAACTCCATCATAAGAAACTCCGACCTTTGACTTTGACCTACCGACTAATATGCATTGCTTTGCCTTCATTGGTTGGTTCATACTTCATATTCTAACTTGAGCTAGATCTTTTTGGGAATGTTAATATTAGTGGTACCTAGGAAGGTGGAATCAAATTTTCAAATCTTTTTTAAATTACAAGTCTCTTTTGTTGGGTTTTTTTGGGTGGGTTCTCATTTGTTGGTAATTCAATTATATAATCAGTTTTTTTAACAAATGAAAAAATTGATATTAATCATAAATTAATATGATTGTTCTTTTGTTTTATAAATTTTGGTAAAAATTTTAAATATAAATACTTTGTTTTTTTAATATTATACTTTGTACTAAGAAGTACTACCCCCGTCTCCCATATATCCTTTCATTAGGTGTTAAAAGATTTGATTAATTTTATTTCCAATTTAATTGATTTGATTGTAGTGTAAAGTTTTAAAATAAAATATACTTTGTATATGGTAAAAAACTACATGAAAAATTTTATAAAACAAAGAGTGATAAGATTATAATATTTTATGAAATGAATAGTAAAAATAAGCAAACAAAGACCTTTTTTGGATATTAGTTGTTAATGATTGGTTGTTGGCGGTTTGTGTTGGTTGTTTTATATGGTTGGTTGAGTTCGCTATTTTGATTGGTTGATAATATTAATTTTTTAAACAATTGTTTGGTAATGTTAGCTGTTCTTAAACCGCTCTGTTTCTAGAGTGCTTCTTTGGTTCACCTTGAATGCATATTATTTTTGTAGACCTTAAAAAATACTTATTTAAGTAATAAAGAAATATTTGTTTTACTCATATGTAGGTCTATGGTGGATTTTAGGTCCAGCATAGAATTTGTTCGATTTGTAATGGAGATTCTATTTTTAAACATGTCTTCATGTATGTTAATTAATACTTTCTCCGTCCTAAAATGTTCTTCTCAGTTACTTTTCACACGGTCAAACTTTAATCACTTTCTTTACCTATTTTCATTAGGTATTTGATAAAATAATATAGTCTTGTCACCACTTGTTTTGTAAATTATATTTTTTAATTTTACACCTACAATCAAATAAATTGAATTGAAAATAAAGTTTATCAAACTTCGTAAACAAAAACGGGAAGAACATTATAAGATGGAGGGAGTACGACTCTATTTTTAAGCATGTCTTCATATATGTTAATTAATATGAAGTATGTTATTATAATTAAATAATTTTTTAAAATTTTGATAAAAACACATTACTTAAATGACCAAAATAAACAATACGTACGACCAATATCAAACACTACAACAAAAACACAACTTAAAATAATACTGTAATTTTATTTCAAAATTAAATAAAATACAATATTTTTAAAATTAAAATTTCTAAAATTTTTAGATCTAATTTTAAATTTTTTTCTAATATATGTGACAAATATTTTATTTTATCAAATGATTATTAAAAATTTGTAAACAAACAAAAATTATGGAGAAAGCGTAATAGTAACAATCAAAAACATTGTGCGACCGAGGGTATATAATCAGTACAATTTCATGTATTTTTTCATAAATTACCCGTCACTAAATTCATAATTCCATTCTCAATTTCAAAATAGATTATAATTCATCCACATATATTTAATATTTATCTCACCCTAAATTAAACTTTTGATTTGCTTTGTGGTGGAGTTTAAGGGAAAAAAATGCTAAATTATATTGTTGACATTTCTAAATGTGAGAAAAAATAAAACTAATGCTAGAATCACAAACAAAACACTCGCAAAATGCAAAAACTTAACATTTGTGTATTTTGTTTTTATTTTTTAATTATTTGAGACCATTACTTGAATCCATTACTTTATATATTCGGCAAGTTTGTAATTTTTGTGAATATTTTGTCTGTGAGACAGCGACTATGGCATTATTCAAAAAATAATGTCAACCATTTAATGAAGGCCATTCTTTCATTCATATGACATTTATAAGTATGAACAAAAAGACTCTCAAGTGAAAATCTGCAATTTTGAAGCAAAACTAATCACAAGATTAAAATTTGCATTCCTTATTTTATTACAAAGAACAAGAACTCATCAATTATATGCACAGTTAAACAAGCTAAGAGATTGATGAACATTAATGGAGATCATCATCATGCAGTTAAGGTTCTGTCAAATCAAAAGCTGAAGAAATTATCTATCACAGTGGTACCTAAATCAACAGAAGTTGTTGTTGTTGTTGTTGATGATCCAAAAGTGTTCTGGAACCAGAAATTCTCCACTGAGCCATAATCATCAAGAAATCTGTCCATTGAATTCAACTCTTCAAGTTCCATATCCATCTTCTTCTCTGTTTCATCCACTTCCATGGCAATCACTGCTGCTTCATCATCTTCTTCCTCTGTAACTGCAGGCATGTGCCCTTCAAACAAAGCTATGTGTCCGAAGAGCTTATCCTTGCGCGAGAAGCTAGTTCCGCATGAACATTTCCATTTCGTTCTCCCGCAATTCTTCATGTGGTTGTTCAGATCCGCCATTACTGAGAAGCTCTTCGTGTTGCACCTGGTGCAGAGGTAGGTTTTGGGGCAATGGCTTCTCCTGAAGTGATTCTTCACGCAGATCGCGGATTTCAGCGGCCGGAATTTCCGGTGCGATTTGTTCCTCGAGCAGCCGGGGAAGGGGCACGAGAACAGCGCGATTCTGCCGGAGACGATCGGATCTGGGGATCTCTCCGGCTTCGCTAATGCCTCCGGCGTCTTGTACTGGTTCCCGTGAGCCCTCATGTGCATCCGGAGATTCGCGTCCCGCTTGAAGCCCTTCCCGCATATCTCGCAGAAATGGACGTGCTCCGCCATCAGCTGCACCGCGTCCATCTCGATGATTTCGGAATCCTCGCCGCCGCCTTCGCCCCGATCCGGCGCCCTGCCGTCTGCAGTTTCTCCGCCGGTCTGGTTTGGTGAGAGAAGCGACGCGCCGTTGGCGATGATCTGGCGGATGGCGGAGCTGAGCTCCGCCGAAACCCTATCCATCTCGTCTCTGCCGAGAGGAGCGTTGCTGCTAACCGAGTCGGAGAGGAACTTCTGAAGCGAGTCGACTCGGTCTCGAACGTAGGAGAGGTTGCGAAGAGGAACGCTGCGATCAGTGACGCCGCCGCCGCTCACGGTGGCCATTCCCGGTGGTTTTGTGGCGGCTGGTGTATGACGTAGATCGCCGAAAAATGACATGTTTTTTTAAATATACGGAGTATATAAATAAATAAATAAAATACGGAATAAAATGGAATAAATAGGCCAGATATCAGGGAGCACACGCGTGATGCTGTACAGCTTGTCATAGCCCGACCAAAACCAAAATAGTGGTTTTAGTACTATTCACAATTATATTTTCATTGCCCTTATAAATAATGGAAAAAGTTCATTTTTTTTGCAGTCCTAAATTAAATTATTAGTTTTGATTTACGATAATTTATTGAATTATTTTTAATTTAAGTTATCTAAAAATTAGGGTACAATTAAAAAAAGAAAATTTATATTTTAAAAAATTACATCAAAAATTCTATAGAATAAGAGATGATAATACTATATTATTTAATCTAAGGAAGAAAGACCAAACTAGGACTAAAACATTGAAAATATACCAAAATAGGACTTCCATATTTTTATTCCCAAAATAGGACTTACATTACCAAACATGGTCATATATATTACCAAAAAAATATAGTAATTTGTACATGTACACTGCCACATTACCACAATGCAAAGTCACATTACCACAGTGCAAAGTTCTATTCCGGGGAAAAAAACATGAAAGTCCTATTTTGGTACTTTTCTCTATGTTTTAGTCCTATTTAAGATGATTTCTATTTATCCAATGAATAAAGTAAACAGGTAAAAAATTGAATAAAGAGATAATATAAATTGAGAGGGGGGAAATTCAATTCCAATAAGGTGAATAATCTTACTCTGTATCCATTTAAAAGTTATTTAAAAAAAGAATACGGAGAGGTTGCGAAGAGGAACGCTGCGATCGAAATGGATATTTAAATAAATATCCATTTATTTAAATGGATATTTAAATATCCATTTATTTAAATAAATATATATAAATAAATATCCATTTAATATTTAAATATAAAAAATTGATTTAAATATCCTTTTATTTAAATAAATACATAAATATATATCTAAATAAATATCCATTTATTTAAATGGATATTTAAATAAATATCCATTTAATATTTATTTAAAATTACTCTCTCTCTCTCTCTCTCTCTCTCTCTCTATATATATATATATATATATATATATATATATATATATATATATATATATATATATATATATATATATATATATATATATATATATATATATAAAGAGTTCAAAATAATAATCACGAAAAAAATTGATGGACAATTGATTTGTTCTTTTATTTAATTTCTCAAGAAAGCATATATTGGCTTCACATAATTTTTTATAAACATTACCACAGTGCAAAGTCCTATTCTGGGAAAAAAACATGAAAGTCCTATTTTGGTACTTTTCTGTATGTTTTAGTCCTATTTAGGATGATTTCTATTTATCCAATGAATAATGTAAACAGGTAAAAAATTGAATAAAGAGATAATATAAATTGAGATGGGGGAAATTCAATTCCAATAAGGTGAATAATCTTACTCTGTATCCATTTAAAAGTTATTTAATCTATAAATTTGTATTTTATATATATATATATATATATATATTAAGAGTTCAAAATTATATATATATATATATATATATATATTAAGAGTTCAAAATAATAATCAGGAAAAAAATTGATGGACAATTGATTTGTTCTTTTATTTAATTTCTCAAGAAAGCATAGATTGGCTTCACATAATTTTTTATAAACATTGTTTTCTAAAGAGATTGATACTCCTTGTAAAATGTGTCTATGTCAATCAAAATGTTAAAAGTGATAAGAGCCAATAACTAAATAAATAAAAAGGGTTCAATAGTCCCTGAGAATATGTAAATTGAACTTTAATTACAAATTGGTGGTAAGAAGTGGATCATGCACCTGATACTTGCAGATATCATATGATTAACATAATTACATTCAATACAGTTACCAAAAATCAGTATCGGATTTATTTTTTGACACTCTCTACATTTGTTAACTACGTCACGCTCACGAGTAATAATTAAATAAATATTGTATGGGAGAAATGGAATGGACAATCTAATCAAATGAAAATAGGCATGCAATTGGGTGGTCCTTCACTTTTATTTGTTTTTTTTGTTTGGTTAATGAAAACAAACCAAAATAGTGCCCTTTTTGTCTTTTTCTTTCACGACGACGCACATTATTTGTGGTGTATTCCTACCTCCTCCCACACAAACTCAAATTTATTTTCTTTTGTCATGGTATAAAATCTTTCTTTAAATTATAATTAGATACTCTTAAAAATATGTTTTCAAAAAGAAAAAAAGATAGTCATAAAAGTCTTATCCCATTTTAAACAATGTGCAAAATTACAGTTTTCAAAATTATTTTATTTTAAAAGTTTTTTGAGAATATTTCTCAAAAAAATTTCAAAATAATTTTATTTTAACAAATAATTAATGGAATCACAAAAATAAATAAAAAATTATCGAAAAGTCAGAATACTAGTTTAGACAAAATTTTAGGAACAGATGGAGTACTTTAACTTTATGCTGAATTGATCTCTTAATATAATACTCTATTAGAGTCTTGCTAACTTAAATGTCACAAGTTTGAATATCATTAAATTCTCACCGGTTTTAAATCTATCAATGTTCCTATGCAAGACTCAAGTAAAAAATAAATCTCATTTGCATGTAAAAAAAAAGTGTCTAAAATTAATACTCCATTTGTTATCAAAAACACTTCTTCTTTCATTTTTTTTCACTTCCAACAAAACACTTCCACTTTTTATTAAAAAACCACTTTTACCCTTACTTTTTCATACCCTACCTATCACATCATATTTTTTTCTCTAATAATCTACTCATCACTTCGTACTTTTACCCATCACATCAAGGGCAAAATTGGAAGTCAACTACAATTTAAGACTTCCTTATTTTTCTACTTTTTCAAAGTAGGAACTCTTTTTGAGAACGGAGGGAGTAGTATAAAAACTTTTCTACACATACAATCACAAATTTCAATTTTTGGTTGAATTAGTTTCTTCATACTCCATCTGTCCTAGAATGATCTTCCCAATTATGTTTACGAGGTTTAATTGAAATTATTTTGCAATTCAATTTACTTGATTATAGTTGTACGTATAATTAAAAAAATAAATATTAAATATTTTAAAATTACATTAAAAGTTCTACAAAACAAGAGGTCACATGACTATATTATTTTATCAAATAACTAACGAAAATAGATAAGGAAACTGATTAAAGTTTGATCATGCGAAGAGTGAATGAGAAAATCATTTTAGAAGAGAGGTAGTATTAAATTTTTATTTTTCTCTTTTTATACTTCCTCCGTCCCCAATTTGATTACAAATTGCGGGTTACAGAGTAAAATTTTCTTTTTTTTGAAATAATTTTATTTATAAATTGGTATATTAATAAGATATAAAAATTACATATTAAAGAACTACGTCAAAAGTTTTACAAAATAAGAGGTGACAAGAATATTTTATTTTATCAAATACTTAATGAAATAGCGTAAACAAACAAAAGTTATCGAGAGGAGAGAGAGAAAAAAATTGTAATCTATTTAGGGACGGAGGGAGTATTTGTAATGATCTCTCCTCCGTATTAATTGTGCTTGGGAGTGATGGTATTCAACTTTTAAAATAAGAAAAGAAAAAGAGAAGTATGTTTTGCACCTAAAAATTTGTCTTAACTTTATCCATCAAACATAGCCCCACACACGAGATGCCTATGACTCTATGAGGACTACACTAATTTTTTTGTGTGCACTTTGCCAAAATAATAAAAAATATACTTCATCCTTTTATTTTGTTTTTATATTTTTTTTATCACTTCTTAATTTTTAGAACTTTTGAAATGTTTTTAAATATGTAAGTTTTAATTTTTATTGTTTTATCAATTTCTAAATATATTTAATTGAAATAACTTAAAATTTTACATCGTTTTTCATAGTGTTGCATTATTTTTGGGACGAAGGAAGTATCAATTATAATACCCATCTTACAACATTCTTCCAATTTTTTTTTCTATCCCAAAACTACATTCCCGTTTCCTAAAATAGAGCGTAAAATGACAGTCTTGCCCTTACAATATTCACACCCCAACCATCTCACTCTCTCAATCCTTTCTCTCCATCTCCCTTCCTTATCCTTCAAAATCAAACCCTAGATATAATCTTCTATGAGAAAATTTTTGACATGGGAGGGCATCGGCGACATTATGTTTTTGGGCGGCGAGTATAGAAGATCCTACCGGCAGAGAGAAAGTGGCAAGCGTCACTGGTGGGATAAGGAAATAGTCCTCAAGAAAATTTCAGGCTGCGTTCCGTCTGCCTGATCTGATTTTTTGAAGATCTGATCTGATTGTAGTTATAATTAAAATTATTTCTGATCTAGTCTGATTTGATCTGGTATCGTCTTTTCTAATATGATTTGTTTATAATAAGAACAAGTAATAAGAAAAAAATAAGTTGAACGGAACGCTGCCTCAGTAGTCGGCCCGAGCAACAACGAATATATATACCTCCTCTTGTGGTGGCGGAGAATTCCAATGGACAGTCCTCCAGCGGCGGACGACTTGAGATGCGAGGAATATCGAAAAGAGTCTACTGACTATGGACAGAAAAGCGATAAAACTGGCTTCGTCCACTTGTCTTCGTGGTACGATCCGATCTAGATCTAGAAGATGGATAGTGTTTTTCTTCATTTGCTTTGATAGGGGTATTCATGGAAAGTCAAAGTATTTTTTATACTCCTTTAAAAATAAACTTAGATCAGAATCGAAGAACATTTTAGGAATAAACTTAGATCAGAATCGAAGAACATTTTAGGACGGATGAAGTAATCTTATTGTAAACTTTTTTTTGAGAGGGATGAATGAGGAATTATTGATAGAGCTCCACAAATTCATAATGTGGTGTTCAATCAAAGCTGGCCGTTTGTTGCTATCAATGTATCATTTCATTAGTTTGTTCCCTTTCTCGACCGAGACGCGGCAGCCAAGCAATAACCCAACATCATCATCACCATTTTCAATTGGATCTACTCCCAAAATCTCAATAACCCAAAAATTATGAATTTTTTAATTTATTTGTATATTTTTATTGATTATTTGATCAAATAAAAACATTTTTGTCACTTTTTATTTTGAAAGAATTTTGACATAATTTTTAAATAGGTAAACTTTATTTTTATTTATATATACTCTCTCCGTTCCAAATTACTCTCTCTGTCCCATTTTATAACGCATGG